TTTTTAAAAGATAAAACCCCTAAATTCCTTTCCTTGGAAACGCTTGCCCTTCACTCCTATCCCAAGCCTGGCGACCTTGCCCCACGCCCGCAGAATTGCGCTTCCGAGTTCCAGGCTGCCGGTGTAGATGCGTCACCACCACGGTAACTAATAAATGTTTACAGAGAGTTATTTTGAGGCTATAAAACATCCTGTTTCTCCTTAATGTATCACCCACTAATTTAGTAGGGTTAATTCATCTACTTGTTGAAAGGTAGCTGGTGGTTTCCAATTTTTGACAATTATTAATAAAGCCATTGTAATGTAACATTCACATAGAGGTTTTTGTGTGAAAATAAATTTTCGATTGACTTAAAACAATCTTTTCTTGTTTGAATTGCCTTCTGTGTCTATTCTTTTGCAGATACACTGTTTGGATTACTCTAACTTTATAGAAAGCCTAGAAATCTCATGGTGTAAATCCTCCAATTTTGTTATTTTTCAGAATGGTTTTGGCCATTCTATTTCCTTTGCCTTTCCATGTAAATTTTAGAATTAGTCTATCAATATCTATAAAAAATGATTGCTGAGATTTGGAAGAACTGGCATCTTAACAATATTGAGTCTGTCAATTCATGAAAATGGTATATTTTATGTAATTCTTCTTTGATTTCTTTCATCTGTATGTTGTAGTTTTCAGCATATATATAGATCTTCCGTATATTTTGATAGATTTGTACATAGGTCTTTCATTCTTTCTTTTTTTGTTACTGTAAACAGATTTTTAGAAATTGCCAAATTCCAGTCCATTGCTAGAATAGGAATGGGACTGACTTTTGTATATTGACCTTTTATCCTGCAAACTTACTAAACTTGCTTAATAGTTAAAACAGCTTTTTGTCGGGGGGGGGGTTCTTTTTTAGAGACGGGGTCTCATGCTGTCATCCGGCTGGAGTGCAGTGGTGCAATCATAGCTCACTACGGCCTTGGACTCCGGGGCTCAAGCAATCCTTCCGTCTCAGCCTCCCGAGTCACTGAGATATTTGGTATTTTCTACATATACATCATTTTGTCTGAAAATGGTGACCATTTTGTTTCTTCCTTTCCAGACTGTATGACTTTTATCTCTTTCTGTTGCCTTAATTCACTGGCTAGGACTTATAGGATGATGTGAATAGGAGTACTAAGAGATCATTGCTGTCTTAGCCTGTTTTGTGCTGCTATAACAATACCTGAAACTGGGTAAAGAACAGAAATTTATTTTTCAGTTTTGGAGCCTGTGAAGTCCAAGATCAAGGTACCAGCAGGTTTGGTTTTGGTTAAGATCTGCGTCACTGCTTCCGAGATGGCACTCTGAATGCATACCCTGGGGTTGGGGAGGGCCCACTGTTCCTCATGGCAAAAGAATGAAAGGGGGAAAAGGAGCAAGACAGGGTCAACATTGTCCTTTTATAACCATACCAATTCCATGCATGAAGGTAGAGCCCTCAAGACCTGATCACCTCTTAAAGGCCGAACCTCTTGATACTGTTACAGTGGCAATTAAATTTTAACATGAGTTTTGGAGGCGACAAACATTGAAACCATAGCAATTGCCTCATTCAATTCATAGAAATTATTTAATCTCTCACCATTGAATGTGAGTTTAGCTATAGGTGTTTATAAATACCCTAAAAAGTTCCCTTCTATTTTTAGTTTGCTAAGCGTTTTTATAATAAATATATATTGAATTGTATCAAATATTTGTCCTGTAACTATTGACATGATCATATGACTGTTTTATTTAGTCTATTAATATTGTGAATCACATTTATTAAAAATTTTTTTGTTGTGGTAAAATACAGAAAATATAAAACAATTTTAATCATTTGTGAGTGTACAATTCAGTGGCAGTAAGATTATTAACACTGTTGTGTAACCACCAACACTATCCGTGTCCAGAACCTTTCATCACCCCAAACTCAAACTCTGTACCCATTAAACAAATCCTTATTCCTGCTGCCACCAGCCCATCTGTAACTACTATTGTACCTACTTTCAATACAAATTTGACTATTACAGGTACCTCGTTAATGTAGAATCATATAGTATTTGTCCTTTTGTGTCTAGCTTATTTCCCTTAGCACAATGTCTTCAAGGATTACCCATGTTGTATTATGTATCAGAGTTTCATTTTGTTTTAAGACTGAATAATATTCCATTATACATATGTACATTTTGTTTATTCACTCAGCTGTCAATGAACATTTAGATTGTTTCCATCTTTGGACTATTATGAATAATGCTGCTATGTCTCCTGCAGGACCGGAATGGCAGAGGTTTCTTTCATGAATAATGCTGCTATGAACATGAGTGTAAAAACGTTTGAGTCCCTGCTTTCAATTATTTGGGGTATATACCTAGAAATGGCATTGCTGGATCATATGGTAATTCTATTTTTAATTTTCTGAGGAACCACTATACTGTTTTCCACCATGACCACAGCATTTTATATCCTACCAGGAATGCACAAGAGTTTCAATTTCTATACATTTTCATCAACTTATTATTTTATGTTTTAAAAAATTAATTTTTATGATAGCCATCCTAATGGGTGCAAAGTGGTATCTTGTGGTTTTGATTTGCATTTCCTTAATGATTAGTGATGTCACTGTAAAATACAGCATATTAATAGAAATTTGAGGTATAGCAAGGCCAGTAGATTAGGAGATGACAACCACTGAAAAGATAGTCTATTACTTAGAAGAAGGGTCACACCACATCATGGGAGTCCATACAGGGAAGCACCAGTATCAGTCAGGAGCAGAGAGAAAGAGGGGAACTTCGGGCAAGAGCCTTTACTGTGGTTTCTGTGGAAAGGAACGGACAAGACAGGGTGAACAGGCTTAGGGTTGGCTAGTTTGGATACTTTCACATGGCTCTGGGGCAAAGGGACTACCCCCAATTGTCTGGCACGTTACCCTGAGGTGATTAGTGCAGGAGATAGTGGCTCAGAATATGACAGCCTAGGGTGTTTGGGGTGTGGTTCTAGATTGGTTGGTTTATATTTGAAAAGTGTCCTCATGGTCAAGTTGTTTACTATTTCAAAAAATTGTCTAGTCCTGGGAGGACAGTCCCTTCAAGATCAGCAAGGTCACAGATGTGAATGCATCTAGATACAGGAAATAAAAGGGATGGTTAATACA